GTTCAGCCTCCCTTCCCTCCCCTCAGTGCCTTCAGGAGCCCAGGCTCCCAGTCCCCCAGAACCTGCCTCTCCCACCCAGCCCTGGCTTCCCTTGATCCCCTCCCATTCCTGTCAAGCCTTCTTCCTCAGCTAGCTCAGTCTCTTCTCTGGTCACTGCTTCCTGCTCATCCCTGAAAGGGGGTGGGGCCTTGTTCTGCGATGGCAAGGGCTGAGGGGGCAGGGCTGAGTGGGGAATGCTCTCTCCTGGAACTTTACCAGGATCAGTGCATTTGGCAGGACCCCACAGCTCAGAAACCTGGGGGATGAGTCAGTTGTCATGGTTACTGAGGATGCCCTACAGCTGGTCAGCTGAGTGCTCCCCTGAGCTGTCGTCTCCCCTCTCTCTGGGCTATTGGCATGAAATATACCTCAACCCCAGGAAGCTGCCTTCTGCATCACAAGGTGCTGTCCAGCAGGGCTCAATTCTCTCACCGTCTACCTTTGAAACTTGGGCCTGGCCACAGCAGAAGCCCCTCCAGTATTTGGGTGGAGGTCTGTTTCTTAGGAACCAGAAGGTGGTTCTGGGCTGGAATGCCCCACTGGCTCCAGGGAATGAGGTTCCTTTAAGTGAAATACTTGCGGGTGCAGAGTAACCCCCACTCCCTCCCCCCAGCTTCCCAGAACTGCACAGGGCTGTCCCCTCCTTCAGCTCTCCTCCTCTCCTACCCTAGAGGGGCTCTCTGCACCTAGTGGACCACGCCATCCTCTCAGGCCTCTGCCCTAGTGTCATTAACAAGGTGGTCCCAGTACATGGCTGCACCCCCGACTCTGCTGCACCAGCACCTGGGCAGGCCCCTGCTGCCCCTCGCCATCCAGGCCAGCAAGGAGGGCCCGGGGGAGGCAGGGAGCATATGGTACCCTCAGGATGACTGAAAGGTTGCCCCTCCCAATGCTGCTGTTCATCATTCTCATCTAATCCTACCCAGCCCCTCCCGAATTTGGTTTCTTCTAGTTTTCCTGCATGGCCTCTTTGATTTCTATCCTGATGGAAAGGCTGTGATATTCAGTGTCAGAAAACAAACTGCTCTTGACATGGGTTTCAAATCGGCTCTACTGAATCATGCACCTTTGACAGTTCAGTCATGCCGCCAACAGTTAAAAACATGACCCCTTCTGGGAGGCGTCTCCACGCCCTCCCTTCCCACCCTTCCAGTCTCTGCCTCACACAACTAGGGATCTGGATGACTTTGAGCTGGGACAAGGAGCCCTCAACCAGCTCCACCGCATGTGACAAGGTGGCCTGGGGTCACTTCACCTCTCAGGGACTCTGTTTCCTCTCCTGTTGTACTAGAAGTGATCAAAATAGGGAACATTCACATGGCACTTACTGCACACCCCACGCTGTTCTAAGTACTTCACTGGCATGAACTCCTTTAGTCCTCAGAACAACCCAATGAGAAAGCGATTATTATCATCAACCTCGTTTTACAGATAAGGAACAGGAGGCACAGAGAGGTTAATTAACTTTCCCCGAGGACACAGTTAGTGAGGGAGTTGACCATGTGACTTGGCCCCGTGGACGTGGTAATGGACCGCACTTTCTGCGGCTAGTTTCTGCGTGACACCCACCCTCCCCTGTGCCCCCTACTGCAGCTCACTCAGACTTCTGGCCCAGACAGCCCCATCTTCCTACCCAGTGATGCGGCTGAGGACTGGCTCCTGGCCAAGACCTGGGTGCACCACTCAGTTCCTGGTGCATGAGATCTGCTGTGAACCCGCTTTGCGCTGGAGACCTTTTTTCTTTTTTAAAGATTGGCACCTGAGCTAACAACTGTTGCCAATCTTCTTTTTTTTTTTTCTGTCTGCTTTTCCTCCCCAAATTCCCCCAGTACATAGTTGTATATTTTAGTTGTGGGTCCTTCTAGTTGTGGCATGCGGGATGCCGCCTCAGCATGACCTGACAAGCGGTGCCATGTCTGCGCCCAGGATCCGAACAAGCGAAATCCTGGGCCGCCGCAGCAGAGCACGCAAACTTAACCACTCGGCCACGGGGCCAGCCCCCTAATGGAGACCTTTTTTCCCTCTGTGCTGTGACAGCTGCCCACGTGCCACCCCATCTTTAAGGTAGGGAGGACCCCTCCTTAAGTGCCCAGAGTGTGGGGGACCTGGGGCTGTCTCATCTAACCTGTGACTCTGGTTTTCCCCCGCTGCTCATGCCTCATTTCCGCTATACCTTCCACGTCAACATCCAGGCCCGCACTGGACTCTTTCACCAGGAAAGCTCATTGACCAGGTCAGGGCCCTGGAAGGCCTGGGATCCTAGTGGTCAGCCAGGTAGGGGCAGAGGTTTGGTCCTGAGCTCCTTTCTGCTGGCAACAGTGGGCTCTCTGCTCATTACAGTCGACATCGCTGGGACAGGTGGGCTGTCTGGAGCTGATCGCCACAAGGGCTGGAGGCTGTCACCTACTGCTCCCTCTGCCTGCCCCACCAGCTAGCTGGCCGTGACGTCCAGGACCTCACCCACTATTACTGCCAAGAAGATGAGCTCCAGATCTGGGCAGCTACACACAGGTGAAGCTCCCCTGGGGCCTGAGGGCTCCAAGCCTCACCCTGGGCTACATCTCTGTTGGCTCATCCAACCATTTCCTCCCACCTTCTACCCAAACACACTGCTATCTCCTAGTCCTTTCCTGCCTCCTCTTCTTCCTTCTCAGCTGTGTGACCTTGGGCAAGTCACTTAACCTCTCTGTGTCTGTTTCTTCATATGAAAACAGGGATAATAAGAGCACCTACCTCATGGGTTATTAAGATGAAACGTAAAGCCCTAAGAACAAACCTCAGGCGAATAGGAAATGCTCTCTGAGCATTAGCTATTATTAGTATTCACCCCACAGATAGTCTCCATGTCTCTATTTTTCCTTCTGACTCTCCCTCACAGGAGACCTCCATGGGATGCACCTCTAGGCTCCGTCCCAGCGGCCAGAGGTTCTTGATGTCCGGCCTCCTCGTGGGTCCCCATCTCCCACCACTAACCTGCATAACGACCTCCCTCCAGGCACTGGGATTTATGACAGTGCTGCTCATGAGCCTCACATGGCTCTGTTTTTTGCCACATGCAATGCAGTGTTGACTGCGGCATCTCAGCCCCTCTGGAATCTGCCCCCCACCTTCCATTCTTCCTTCTCAGCACACACTGAGCTCAGGGAGGCCAGGCACCCTGATTCCCCCTCTCTCCCTATCCAAACACTGCCCCCTCTTCAAGCCCAGCTCGTGCCCCCCTCCCCTTGAAGTCCTCAGGGACTCCTCCCCCATGAACACCCATAGCTAGAGCTGCCCGCGTCAAAACCCTTCTTAGCAATGGACCTGCACACCCTTCATGAGCCCTGCTATGGCTGTGGGTGGATGCACAGTGAGCAAGGCAGACCCAGACCCTTTGGGAACCAGTGGAGGAGACAGAGCCAATCCGCCAGTCCCCATACAGAGGGGCCTGGTGTCTAATCCTTCCCTGTGGCTTGATCTAGCTCAAAAGGCTGGAAAGCAAATACCTGCAGGGCCAGTAAGCAGCAGAAACCTATGAAAGGGTGGGCCGGGGGTCGGGGGGGTGGGGGGGGGGCGCACGGGAACCGTGGCCAATGGAGAACTCATATTTGTTGATGGAGACAATGGCGACCCAGCTATGACTATAGCCAGACTTTAGATTTTTCAAGAGAAACCAGACATTTTCTAATATTTAAATACTAGGTATTGATTCAACTTGAAAAAGAAACAAAGAAAAAACCTGGGCAGCCAATCAAAACACATCTGCAAACAAAATGGCTCTCAGGCCATCGGTTTGCACCCCCTGGTGGAGACTGAGGCCTTCCGGTTTGAAGCTCAGCTCGGGGTTCATACAATGTGTGGTTGGCCATTTTCCTTCTCTGGCATCAGTTTTCTCCTCTTCGGGCAGCTGGTTTAAGTAGCCTCTTCTAACTCACAGCCCTGAGCAGCATAGGCTCCCAATTGTTAATCACCATGTACTCCTGGATCCCCAGCTTTGTGTCTGACATTGTTGGCATCTCCTCGCGGTTGACACTGTTGGGGTCACAGGAGGAGAGGACCTAGCAGGAGCACTGGCAGCACTGTGCTTACTGAGTTTGGGGGAGTCAGTTTGAATTCAGTGCCTGGATGCCCAATATTCCCACCTCCATGCGGCTCCCCCCGCCGTGGCCGAAGCCAGGCAGATCTGGTGGCCTCACTCCCTGAGGTCAACGCCACGTGCCATGCTCTTGTGCTCTTCTGGGGTGTCAGCAATGGAACCAAGGGCACTGTAAGCAAGGCCTAGGGTGGGGTGGGGGATGGGAGGGTCTCAAGTTCCGAGAGAGTGGGTGAGGAAGGGGTCCTGGGGACGATGGGTTACTTGGAGGGTGTACTCAGTAGGCTGGGCTCCTTGGTGGAGGGGCGTGGAGGGATGTACCCTGCTGTGGGTGTGGTTTAGGTGAGTACGGGCTCCCAGGAGGTGGAGCTTAGAGTGGTCTGGGTTTCACAGTGAGCATGGCTTGCGTGGTCTGAGTTTCTAGCAAGGTGGGCTTAGGGTGTCTTTTGCCTAAATCAGTGGGCGGTCTGCGTTTCAAATTGGGCGGGTCTTGGGTGGTCTGGGTGGGCGAAGCTCAGGTGGTAGTCCTTGGGTGGTGGATCTTCTGGAGGACTGGGTTCCTCGATAGTCTCGGGGACTTAAGATGGACCAGAATCTCGCGGGGCAGAGGTCCCAGCTTTCTCTCCTGCCGTCCCCAGAGGCGCCTGGGGACCCACCCGGACGAACGCTTCACCGACGACTGCCCGCAGCAGAGTGTCGCCGCCTTCCAGAGCCATCGGGCCCAGATCTCGCGGGACATCCGGGCGCAGACGGGCACCTGGCGCTGCCCTACACCTATCCGAACCCCGCGGGAGCGGAGAACGGCGTCGCGGAGGGATCGCGCGCCCGGCGCCCCACCCTCACCCCACCCCGCCCCCAGTAAACGGGCGCGCGGTGACGGAGCCGGGGCTTGCGTTTGAAGCGGTGTTTTTGGAAAAGAGGCGGGCGCAGGGCGGGCAGAGGCGAGGCGGGAAGGGCCGTCCTAGATGGAAATGCTGTTCTCAATCAGCACCGGGTCCAGGTAGTAGTAGGGGATGGGGAGGCACTTGTTGCGCTGGCGAATGTTGTGCGAGATCTGGGCCAGGCGCTGGCGGAGGGTCTCCATGCTCCTCCGTGGGACTTCCTCCACGAAGTGGATGTCAGGGAAGTGGCCCAGGCGCCGCTGCGGGCACGGAACCGGGCAGCTGGGACGGAGCGGGCCCCACTGCTCCGCTCTTCCCCTTCAGCTGTCTCTGTTTCCCTGCCTCCCGCCCGTGACACCCCCTCTACTGTCGTTGGCCCCCCACCTCTCAGGCCCCTTCCTAGGCTCAGAGTTCCCCCACCCCCACCTGCACCCGAGGCCCCAGGGCACCTTGTCGTCAGGTTCCTGGCTGAGTGTCCAGAACACCAGTAGGGTGATGCACGTGGTCTTCACATCCGGCAACGTGTCCATGAAGGTCTCCAGAGTGGTCAGCCCCTTGGCCCGAATCGGGGGGTTCCGCATGGATGACGGGAAGTTAGGCATCCAGGCGGTGAACTCCAGCTGGAGGTGAGGTAGAGGAGGAATTCTGGGTCAGAGAGTACCCCGGGACTCTTGGGTTTAAATTGAGGCTGGAATTGAAGCTGGGACTCAGGTTGAGACAGCTCCGGGCTAGACTAGGGATTATGGCTGAGGTTGGGTTTGAGGTTGGGACTGGGGCAGGGGCTGGTGAGCATAGGTACCTGCCCTGTGTTGACAGCTGCGTGCTTGGCAGAGCAGGTGTAGATGACAATGGTGACATATCGGATCAGCTCGGGCACCGTTCGCAAGCACGTGGGAAAACCTGGGGGCGTGGAGGGAGGCCCATGCTGCGTCAGTCCTGCCCTGGTCCTGGTCCTGGCTGGCCGGCAGAGGGCGCAACCAAGCTCCGCTCACCCTGTCCTGCCAGATGGTGCCCTCATCCTGCCTGCTTGGCTCCCCTGTGGCCACAACCCCATCCCCCCCATCCAGACCACAAGCCTTGGGGCGGGGGCCTCAACTGGTCTTGGCCAAGTGTCCTTCAGGGCTGCTCCCGGCACCAGTCTGAGGTGGGGCCCTCAGATCCCTCCTCCAGCTCTCTTAGGGGGGCCTCTCTGGTCACAGGCCTCAGGATGGAAAAGGCTTCAGAAGAATCCTGGCTTTCCTGCCCTGACTCAGCACAGTCCCCCTTCCACTCCCCCCCCCCCCCCCCCCCCCCCAACACACACACTTCTTTGTAGACTCTGTGCTCACTCCAGATGGATTTCTCAGTAGCCTGGCTCTCTGTATCACACCTAAGCAAGCTGTTTGCTTCTCTTTCCTGTTTTCCCACATGAGAGACCAGCCCTGGTTGCCATGGTGACCCTGGGTTTCAAAAGCCCGACACTTTCAAACCAGACCCATCATCTTCCTCTCAAAACAGCTCTTTCTTGCAGGCCCCTGTCTCAAGGAAGGACACACACCATCCACCCAGCTGCAAAAGCCTAAACCTGAGAGTCACCCTTGGCCCCTCCTTCCCCCACCTAACCTCCACTGCCAAACCCAAACCAGTCACCAAGTCCTGTCATTTCTATCTCCTAACTAGCTCTGGAGTTCTCTGCATCCCCACAGCTCCCACTCTAGTCAGGTCCCTGTCACCTCCCTCCTGGACACCACAGCAGCCTCCCAAACTGTCTCCTAACCGCCATTGCAGCCTAATGTTCTAACCTACAAATCTCATCTCCTTGCAGACTCCTCGATGGCTCCCTCTGGTGCTCAGGTAATTCCAAATTCCTTAACCAGGCTGTGCAACCCAGGCCCTGCTCATGGCTTCAGCCTTAGCCCCATTGGGAGCCTGCCCAACCCCCACTCTCAGCACCGGTGGCAGGGACCTGTAAGCAGCTCCCAGAACTCACTCGGCTTGCTCTGGCTTTCAGGCTTTTCCACATGCTGTTCACACCCAGAACTCTCCAACCCCACCTCTGTCATCTCACAGCTGACCTCCCCACCCTGCAGATCTTAGCTAGATGTTAGCCAAGATGTTAGATCTCAGCCCGCTCTCTACCTACCAGCCCTCTCCAAGCTGGGTTAGGTGCCCCCCCTGAGCCCCTCTGCACCCCTAAAACTACACCAGTCCTGTTTTAGTGTAACTGCCCATTTACTTGATCAGACCACCCCACCAGACTGTGAACTTGAGGGCAGCGCCATCGCCTGTCTTGTTCCCTTTTGCCTCCCCAGTAACCGGCACAGTGTTTGTCACATCATAGATGCTCGCTAAATATTTGTTGAGAGGGTGCCCAAGTGGCATGACCTCAGGATGCTCTCCCATGCCCTCCTGGAGCCTGCTGGCTCCCCACCAGCTCACCAGCCTCCAGCATGCTCTGCTCTTTCCTGTTTGAGCTCATGCCTCATTTCTCAGTTCACAAAAGTTGTCAGGTATGGGAGACTGGGATCCCTCCAGGTCTCTACAGAGATGGCCCACAGCAGAGAGACCAAAGGCCAGCCATGCTTTCTTCCCCAACCTCTCCAAGGTGCCGCTGCTTCAGGGGTCAGGGCAGAGCCCTGACAAACTCCTAGGCAGTGATTTGGCCTCCTTCGGTCTCCAACAAGACATGCTCCGGGCCCAACCCAGTGGGGCTCACCCCACAGCCCCTGGGCCCTGCCAGGTGCCCAGGTGCCCAGGCCATACCTGAGCTTTCACGCCCTAGTAGGCACTCCTTGAATATCTCCCGCACCCAGGACTGCAATTCCAGGTCACCCTCCACGGCCGCGTCACATGGGTAATAGTAGGTGATGATCTCTGTCACGTACCTGACCAGGGGACAGGGCCTCAGTTTGGACCCCCCGTGCCCTCCCCAACCATGCTTCTCCCACCTTCCCAGGATGCCCTGGCCTTCGCTGCCCCAGAGCTGCCCCAGGCCTGTGGGTGGGCAAGTCCTGGGGGGCAGAGGTGACGAGGACGGCTTGGCAAGGTCAGAAGATGGTACCAGACCCAAGCCCAGGTCCTTAAAAGCTCCCCCTCCAACATCCCAGGGTGTCTACCCTGAGTGCCACCCACTGCTGCTCCAACCTCACCTCTCCAGCGCATCCCACACTGCCAAGGAGTCATCACGGTAATAGTATCCTGGCAGGTTCTGAACCCCACGCTCCACAAAGTCGTTGGGGAGGTAGAGACTGTCATAGGTGGTCTCTGACAGAGCCCGCACCATCACCTCAGCAAAGCCCTCCAGGCCCAGGGACATGGCCTGTGACAGAGGAGGCAGACCGTGGCGTTGGCGGGGTCCCTGCAAGTCCTCCCCTCTGAGGCTCACACCCACCTCACCACAGCCTAGTGAGAGCTCAGCTTGCCCCCACCCCAGGAATTAGCACATTCTGGGCCAGCACACCCAGCCCCTGCCCCCTCATAGACACAGCACCCACTTTAACCGGTCCCCCTCCCTCCATGCCCCCTCCTGATCTAAAGGCAAGTGGAAATTCTGCTTTTAGCCTTACTGCAAACGCCAGAAGGAAAGCAGATATCTTGCTGGGGGTGGGGACAGAAGTCTCACCCTGGCAGAGAGTCCCCCCTCATTGAGGAGGAGGGCCCGCCCGATGCTGTTGATCTGGATGGTGTATCGGGTGTGGGGGACAAGGAGCTGTGGGGGAAGGCAAGGAGGACAATGAGAGAAAATCGAAGTTATCCCCAAAAAACCTCAGCACCCCCATTTCTGCAACATCAGACCCCTTCACTTGAGGAAGTCCCTAACCCAAGCCCTCTCTTGTGGGTCCCAGCTGCCTCCCAAGTCTAACTGGAGTCCTTCTGACTGCTGAGTGAGCCAGGTGGCTTCCCGAGGCCAGGCGAGGGTAGTAATGCTTCCCAGAGGCCCCTTCGCCCAATCCCATACCTTGTAGAGGGGGTGACACATGGGTAGCTGCCTCAGCATGGCCAGGCAGAAGGCCTCAGCGATGAGGTGGGTCTCCAGCAGGTGGGAGATGGCCTCGTGGCAGTAGAACTCGGCATAGCGCACCCACGTCTTAGCCAGCAGCCAGTCCCACTCTGAGTCACTGGGCAGGAAAATGGGGCAGTCGGGCCCTGGGGTCTGGCTGAGCTGGGGGTGAGTAAGGAGGGAGGTTGGGTAAGGGGAGAGACTCACACACATAAGGACCCCCACTTCAGGAGGAAAGCAGAGGGGAGTCTGAGGGGTTAAAACGCCACCCCCTACACTCCAGTCCCTTTGGTCGCCTGAGCATACCAGGGCCTTCCCTCCCTCTTCACATTTGCTCTTGCTGTTTCCTCCTGCTGTAGTACTTTCCCCCTGCCCCTTTCTCTACCTGGCAGTTCCCACTCACTCTTCAAGAAACAGCTCACAAGCTGCCTCTTCTGAGAAGCCTTCCTTGTCTCAAGCCCCCAGCCGCCACATTCAACTGTGAAGGTTGTGCACTGCACAAGAGTACCCAGCCCCCTGAGCAGGAGGGGACTCACTGAAATCTAGCTTACAGTATTCCACTAATGAGCCAGGAGCATCAGGGCTTGACTGATCCCCCTCAGGGGGTGCCTTTTTCTAATTTGGACAGGACCCTGGTGGAGACCTCTGAGAAGGAAGCACCTCAGTTCCCTTTCCTGCCAGACCAGACTCAAGGCAGCGGCTAAGACTGACCAGCTCGATATTTCCAGCAGAGGCCAGACCCCCAATAAGCACTGGTTTATCAAGTGGATGGGTAAATGGAGTCAAAGAAACAAGCTTGAGACACCAAGTACATTCCTGTCTGTTACCTATGTGTTTATACACACAGCACACACTCTACACACGGGGCCAAACACGAGTGCACCCACAGGGACCCAAGTTCATGCATGGGCATACAATCACAGAGTGGCAGCACACAGTTGTGCACATGTAGGCGCACAGGGTCTCAGCCCAAGGCTTATACACAGGGCCACACACCAGGCTCACCACTAGCCACAGACACAGATAGGGACATACATAAACATAGGTGTATTCTCAGATGCACACACAGGGACACACACTTATATGGACACACATGCTTACATACAGATGTGCACATTCACACAAGCACAAATTCTCACAAATAGATGTACACCCAGGTCTGTAAGTTTCACAAGCATGCACACACACAGAGGCTGACCCACTGACCATATACTCACATGGATAGGAGCATAACAAGTACACACACAGGCCCACACACTCTCATAAGCGCACATACACATGCATGCACACACAGAGGCTAATGCACTAGCGATGCGCTCACACAGCGGCCCCAGGCCTACACCCCAGGCACCTGGATGGCGATGGGCATCATGTTCCCTTCCGGGCCAAAGTGCAGTAGGCAGACGGGGGCGCAGTGGTGCTGCTTCTGGCCGTTGAGCTCAACGGTGGGGATGCCCTCCAAGATGCGGTAGTCTGCCAGGTAAATGTTCCCCTTCTGGAGGGGAGCTGCGATGGGCGGGCAGGTAGGTACCCACATGGAGCACCTACCACCCACGCCTTGGATGCAGAGTGCCCTAGCGCTCGGGTGCAGGGGTTGGCCAAGACCCGACTGAGGGATCAGGGCGGGGGTGGGACTCTGCGGGCGACCGGAGTGGGGAGAGATGGGGATGCCACGGAGGGAGGGAGGCAGGGAGGCCGTGGGGGTCTCCACCGGAGCGGGCCTCACCTCCAGCTCGGCTTGCAGGCACGTTCCCTCGCCCAGGAACGGGGCCACCATGTCTTCTGTGACGGGGAACTTATCTGGGATCCGCGTGCAGCGGCGGAGCAGGCCTGGGTTGATACCATTGAGGTACTGGTACCCAAAGAAGCTGTCCTCTGCCCAGTGCTCGGCCACGTACTCTGGGGGGACGGCGGAGGGACATCAGGACGCGCCCGGATCCCCCTCAGGGACAGAGAGGCATAGAGCTGTGGCCGTGGGCGAAGGAAGACAACGGATACCCGAGAAGACTCGAAGCCCCCAGCCTCCCCTTTAGCGGCCGGAGGGGCCAAGGGCGACGTTTCCCAAGAGGCCGCCAGAGGGCGCGCCCGCCCAGCTAGCGATTCCTGCCTGAGGTTCACCCCGCCCGTCCCGTCCCGTGGCTGTGATTCGAATCCTGGCCTCTTGCACGCGCCTCGAGTTCCTCCTGCCAGAGATCACCTGGCTCTCCCGCGTTCGATTCGGGATGCCCCACTCCGTACCGGAGATGACAGACTTGTTGGAAGGGAAAACTTTCTTAATGTCCTTCAGTCTCTTCCACGACCGTTCGCAGTCCACCAGACCGCGGAGTTTCAACCCCAGTGCCCTAGGAGTTGAGATTCGAAGTGGGGAGGCCGTCAGAGAGGTGCCAAGCGCCCCCTGGGACGGTGGCAGAGCTGCCCCACCTCACGTAGGTCCCTGGGCCTCAGGGTCTCTAAGTCTCAAAGTCCGTGAATTTCTGGAACTCTGGGTCTAAGGGTCTCCCAGGACCAGAGCTCAAAGTCTTTCTCTGTCTAGGTCTCTGAGTGTCACCTCTCAGGTTCTCTGGCCTGTCTTTTCAGCTCCCTCTGCCTTCCTGGCCATTTCAACCTCTGGGGCTGTGGTGGAGGCGGGCATGGAGCAGCGGGTGAGGGACAGTCTACAGGAGCCCTCACCGCCCCCTCACTCACACACTCACATGGGCCCCAGGCGCATGAAGAAGGAGGCGGTCTTCAGGAAGGAGTAGCGGAGATTTGAGTTCAGGAACTTGGTGGCCTTAATGTTGATGAGAATCGGGAATCCCGGGATATATCCATTCCACCTGTGGGAAGGAGTGCAGGGCTGGGGCTGGGCACCTGGGGTCCAGCGGGTGGGGAGGGGGCAGAGCCCAGGGGTCAGTCATGGAAGGGGCCCTAGGGCAGCCTCAAGTCCTTACTCAGGCCGGTTGGGGTTTCTCCGTACAGGAGGGCGGTAACTGGGGATATGCACGTAATTGGGCAGGCCGGGAAGGAAGACCCTCCAGCTGCAAAGAAAAACCAAGACGATGATCCCTGATGCCCATGTACCATCCTAGGGCCAGAGGGGGTGTCACTGGCCCCCGACATCCCGCAGCCCCTGTTGCCCTGCCCTCACTGGTAGAAGTCCTGCTTGGCTCTGATCTCCTCCTGTCGGTGCTCCAGAAGGATGGGGAGCTTGTCGTCTGCTCTTGTCTTTCCTGCAGGAAGACCAAAGAGGAGGCTCAAAGTCTGCCTCCCAGCCGCTGCCCGCCCTTGCCCACTTCAGGGATCAGAATGCAGCTTCTGCCTCCCAGGTTGGCTCTGGGGCGCCCACGGTCAAGGGTGGGAAAGGCTTACCCTGAGAGAGGGAGCGTGGGTCTTCCCCCAGACCTCAGAGGAAAGGATCAGGGACCTCCCTCCTCCCTCTGGCTCCACCCCGCAAGCTGGGCTCTGCGGCTGCAGGGAAGTCCCTCTTCTACACCCACTGGAGCATTAGTGACAGTTCTTTGGTGCTTACTAAGTACCAGGCACTTTCTAAACCTTGGCTTCTATCAATAATTACTCTGCACAAGAACAACCGTATGAGGCAAGTGACTTATTGTAGGCCCACAACCTGGTCTCCGAATTCCAACATCCAACAGGCTGTAGAGAGCAGGTCAGTTTTTTCCTCAAGCCAGGCACAAATTCCTTGGTCAGCAAAATCTGCTCTAAATTTACCTGAAGCTCTAGGTAGTCTCTATTTAACTCATTTGGTATAACTATTCATAGTTTTTGCTGCAGAAATAATAGTATATTTGATTAGGGGGTGCCCTAGTGGGTATATCACATAGCATTATGGTATGTGTATATATAGAAAATATATAGATACATAAAGATATATCTATACATATATTTCATATATATGTGTGTATGTGTATATATATATATATCTTCTAAATCAAATCTGAATTTCAGAATACCTCTGGCCCCAACCAGTTCTGGCTATGGGACAATATCATCGTGCTCATTTTACAAGGAGGAAACAGTCAATATTACATAGAGAGAAAACAGTGAGCTGGCATTTGAACCAAGGCAGCCTGCTTCTGACCACTCACCCATCACCCACTAACAGCCACCAATGGTCGTTAAGCCTTTTTAAAACTTATTTTAGAGGTTACCTCACTGGATTCTCACATCAACCCTACTAAGTAGGTTCCATTAGCCCCATTTTACAGATGAGGACACTGAGGCTTAGAAAAATTCAGAACTATACCCACATGTCCAGCTGGTAAATAGTGGAGCTGAGGTCCAGATCTAGGCCTGCCTTTCTCCAGCATCTTGGCTGGTAGTCCCCAGCTGGCGTGTGCCTATCACTGCAGCCCCGTCATTTTCCCTCGAGACCCTCTTTGCCACCCTCTTCCTCCTCCATCTGCCTTAGCTCACACTGTATCCTGGGCGAACAGTGTCCCCTGGAGTTGTGCAACCCAGAGACCCATCTTGGCTTCATTCCCAGGGTGGGAGCCTTGCTCCTTCAAGGGCCCAGGAAGTGACTCAAGTCTCCCTAACCTGTTGTTGCGTGGCAGCTGCCCCACCCAACCCCATTCCTGCATGGCCACACAGCATCACCCTGCCTGTCCCCTGCTTCCATGCCATTCAGACCTGTCACTGTGAGAAGATGATCCACATCCCCAATGAGACCCTCCCCTTGGCCTCCCCGCCCTCTCCCCTGCCTGTCTTCCTCTGCCCCTGCTTCCCCTTTCCCCTGCTCAGGCCCCATTCCCCTGCTCCCAGGGAAAGGCTCTCGCCACGAGGAAATGAGAGGCAGAAGAGGGGGAAGAGGGGAAGTAGGCAGCGGGAGGATGGGGCTCCAGGCCCCTGCATCCTCTCTGCTCTGCCCTCCCCTCCCATCCACCTCGAGGGAGGTCAAAAGGGGACAGGCCTGCAGTCCCTGTGTAGCAGCCACATATTAGGAAGCTGACACAAGCCCACCAGACAAGGACTCTGGCAGGGGTGGATGCAAGGAATTCAGGCACTCAGGTCCTGTCCCTTTTCCATGGGAGCAACCACGTGACTGGGAAAACAGCTGGGCAGCCTTGATCAGCCACCAAGGAAAAACCCCATAGTCTGCATGAGTAACAGGGCCTCCTACTGGAGTGCAATGGAACCTTACTGGATTAAGGGGGGGGGGGGAGGGGGACACCTTTTGGAGCAGAAGTGAGTCCTGTTAGAGAAATAATGTCCTGTTGGGGTCTTAGGGAGTCCTTTGGAGCAATAGAACTTCCCATCAGTCTAAAAAATCCTCAATTAGAAAACCAGGCCAGGGGCCGGCCCTGTGGCTGAGTGGTTAAGTTTGTACATGTTTTGCTTCAGCGGCCCAGGGTTTCGCTAGTTTGGATCCTGGGTGTGGACATGGCACAGCTCGTCAGGCCACGTTGAGGTGGTGTCCCATATGCCACAACCAGAAGGACCCACAACTAAAATATACAACTATGTACTTGGGGTATTTGGGGAGAAAAAGCAGAAAAAAAAAAAAAAAAAAGAAGATTGGTAACAGTTGTTAGCCCAGGTGCCAATCTTTAAAAATTAAAAAAAAATTTTAAAGGAAAAAAAGAAAACCAGGCCATCAGGGCTGGCCCTGAGGCGGAGTGGTTAAGTTCGCATGCTCCACTTCGGCCACCCAGGGTTTCGCCAATTCAGATCCCAGGCATGGACATGGCACCACTCATCAGGCCATGCTGAGGCAGCATCCCACATAGCACAACCAGAAGGACCTACAACCAGAATATACAGCTATATACTGGTGGGATTTGTGGAGGGAAAAAGAAAGAGGGAAAAAAAAGAAGATTGGCAACAGATGTTAGCTCAGGTGCCAATCTTTAAAAAAAAAAGAAAACCAGGCTTCGTGCAAGCCCTCCTGTTACAGCCCCATGGAGAACTGTGAAGCTAACAGGGCTTCTTAGTGAAAGGACGAGGCAGCAGTTGGAATGCTAGGGCATCCTATTAAAGTAACCAGGCATCCTGTGTGGGAATAGCCTCCTGCTGAGGGGACAGGGAATCATTTTAGAGCATCAGGACATGCTGTTTGGCATAAGTAGGGCATCCTAGCAGAGTCCTGAGGCCTGTACTCAGAGTAGTGAGGGGTCTTTCAGAGTGGCTGGGCACCCTGTGGTAGTCAAGGGGAGGACTGGAGAGCACACTGGTCTTCAGCTAGAAGCGGGGATCCTGAGATCCTGAGGGTAACCCTGGGCCTCTGTTCCTCCAGGATGCAGCCCGGAGCTGGGGCCAGCATGGCAGCAATGACTGAGAGTAGTGTGTGAGAGTGGCAGGCGTTCCTGGGAGTCCCTGTGGGGCTGGCACCTGGCTGGCTTGTTAGGAGCCTGGAGTGGCGATGCTGGACAGGCCAGGCAGGAGCAAGAGGCCTAAGGGCATGGGATGGGCTGGTGAGGGCTTGCCTGTAGCCTCCCGGAGTGCCAGGGTCTCGTAGCCATCCATCCACTGGTAGGCAGGGAAGTGGTAGGTGTGGCCATTGGGCGCAGAGATCTGCACGTAGTTGCAGTACCAGGAGTTCTTGGGAAAGAAGGAGTAGCGCTCCTTGTGCAGACGGATGATGATGAGCTCCCCGAGGTCCTGCTGGCACTGGACAGTATACTCATCCACCTGGGCAGGGCACAAGGCCAGCTGAGCAGGCAGGACTTGACCCTGGCTCCTCAGGCCTCCCATTAGCCTGGCCCTTCACCTAAACCCTGCTCACACTGAGAGATGCTCATCTCCCTGGAATGAGGTGACCTGATCATTGGGCTCTCCTCCCATCCCTCCCACCTGACTGTCCCCTGCTGGGCCCATCTACCCAGGGCTGGGCAGGACCCCAGCCCCTCCCTTCTCCATTCCCAGCTCCTCGGGTCCCCTCCTCCCACCCCATCCCCAATCACCTCAGGCTGCAGGAGCCATGCAGACCCCCAGGGGCTGGTGTACAAAGGGGTCCGTGGGGTCCAGGGCCTCCCAAGCCTCCTACAGTCTTAGAGTGGGCAGAAGTGGTCCAGCTAGTCCCTTTTTCTCCCACTTATCAATGAAGATGTGGTGATTCATAAATGGCCACATAGAGTGACCTATTAAATCACATAACAGCAGGTGGCTGGACCAGACTCAGAATCAGGTCTGAGGGTTGAGGGCCCAGGAAAGGGTGCCTTCCATGATGGAGCAGGTGGGTCCCCACTGGACAGGCTGGCCATTTTAAGTCACAGAGAATCCACTGTGAATTTAAGCCAGTTGTGATGCAACTTAACTTAGGAAGAGTGAGTAAGGATGAGAGAGAGAGGGATGAGGGAGAGGGGGAGAAAGGAAACAGGAAAGGGATGAAGGCAGAGGGAGTGGAAAAGGGAGGAGAAAGAAGAGAGATAAAGGGAGTGAGAGAGGGTTGAGAGAAGAGGGATGTGGGGTGAGCGATGAGAGAGAACAAGACGGATGAGGGGGAGGAAGAGAGAAGAGGTGAGAAAAGGGGAGGAAGGCAGATGAGGAGTGACCAGAAAGGGATGAGAGGTGACAGACCAGGGATAAAGAAGGATGGCCCCAAGGCCAGAGAAGTGGGAGAAGGTTGGAGCGAGGTCTGAATTGAGGGGCATCCGGAACCACACTTGGAGCCCCACTGCTTTCGGACCTCCCCAGAGCCCCCCAACCTCTCCTGGCCAAGCTCTGGCTCCCTGGCTCCCTCCCCTGCACACCTGCATCCCTCTCCGTGTTTCCCAGACTCAGACACATATACACACTCACACATATGCACACTCACACATGCGCACACACTCACCGCTCCAGTTGCAAAGTCTCTCCCAAAGTGGTTCAGCAGCTGCTTATGGCTCTCTCCTTGGGTCCCCACGATGGTCAGGGAGATGGAGTCCGTCGTTCCTGACAAGAGATCAGTACCAGTGGCCACCTTGACTTTGTACGTGGCCATGGCTGCTCTTCAGGAAGCGGGAGCGTGGGACTCAATCACAGACGGTGGGGGCTGGGCCACAAGGGGCCAAGCAAGGGAAGCCAGACACAGAGAGGAGTGGAAAGGGACAGCGTCCCGAGGCGGAGAGGTGAGGCCCACTGGCAGTCCAGAGCCTGGAGAAGCTGCTGCCCTTGATGGGCGGGTTGGGAACCCGGCAGGCTGGGGCGGGGCTGTGCTCCTGACAGGTAAGCAGGCATCTGAGCTACAAGCCTTCTGGGATCTGGCGGGGAGGGGCAGATGACAGGGCAGCAGGGCGCTGGACCTATCTCCAGAGAGGGCGGATGGAAGAGGGCTTGAATGAAGGAGACTTCAGGGTGGGAGAGCCAGTCTAGCATGAGCCACAGCCCCAGGGAAGGTGGAGGAAGGGCCAGGCGGGGCCCCCAGATCTCTATCAGCCTAATAAACTCCTTCCTTCTGTTTGCCTCCATTGGCTGCAGTGCTGGGCACTCCTGCTAAACGGGGCCGTGGCCAGTGGGTTACCTGCATTCGTTCTGGGGCTCCTGGTAGGTGGGGGTTAGGGGAGGCGCAGCGCAAACTTGCTGTCCAGCTGGCCTGCTGCCTGGCCATTCCTCTCTGGGAAATGGGGCAAGTAGTGGCCACAGTGGAAAGGCTGGCCTGTCCTTCTGCCGCAGGGCCCAGAGCCCACGATAGGAAGGGTGGTGTGTGTTGAAGCTAGAACTCAGGAACCCTAGAGCACAGAGAGTCTCCAGGACGAGATGATCAGGGATGGGAACGGGGGTGTCTGCCGCTTCCTGCGGGGCCAGGGTCAGCGGCGGAGAGATTGGGGTTGAGACAAAGGTAGAAGACAGTTGGAGTGAAATTTAGGGCATAAGAATTAAGCTAAAGAATGGGTATATAATTTGTGGCATAATCATAACATAGAATTCTACCCAGCAATTAAAAAAAAAGAATGAATCTCACAAAGATTATATTGAGTGAAAGAAGTCAGACATAAAAGAGTATGTGTTCCATCATTCCATTGACACGAAGTTCTAGAACACGCAAAACTAAGCAATTCTTAAAAAAGTCAGACTAGTGAGTGCTCAGAATGGGGGTGCAGACTGAGCACCTGCAAGGGGAGCCATGTAGGGACCTAGAAACATTCTATATCTTGATCAGGGGGCGAGTTTCTGATGCATCGCAGAAGCCAGAGCCCTGAGGACGAGGTGGGCTCAGGCCGTGGATAGGGCTGAGCTGAAGGAGGTGTTGGGACTAAGGTTAATGTAGAGAGAGGGCTGGAGTTCTGCTCTCAGCAGATAGCGTTTGGGGCCCAGGGAGGGTGAGGAGAGAGTCCTGTTCCCATGCCATTTTTCCGGACCTGCCCTCCTTCCTTCTGCCTCCCAGGAGCAGCTCTTGCCAAAAGGAAGTACCAGCCCAGGTTTCCTCCCTGGTGGCACCCTCCTGTCACCATCCAGGGAAGGTCACACACTTTCCTGGAGCCAAGTTGGGGCAGAAGGGGGCTGGGATTCTGAGATGGAGAGAAGGTCCCCGCAGTTTGGGACTGGGTGAGGAATGGGGAGGAGATTGCAATTCGAGATAGGGATGCAGTTGGAATTAAGGAGGGAAATTACCTTTTTAAGATCCAGATCTGCTCCTATCACACCCCACAACCCCCTGCAACCCCAGATCAAGCCTGGCAGCGGCTCCCCCTTGCCTTTGGAGTAACCACCTCATCCCTTCATGTGGCCCCCATGGCCTCCTCTAGGTCTCATTCCTCCCGGCCCACCCAACGCCATGTTGGCTTTCTTTTTTCTGAGACTAAGTGCCTTTCATTCATCAGCAGCAGACACTGACCCAGCAGGGCACTGTGTCAGGCCCTAAGAATACAATGTAACCAAAGCAAATCTCTGCTCACCTTCAGGAACCTACATTCTAGTTGGGAAAACAGACCATATTGCCTAATAACCAATGTAAATTAAATACTGTGTTAAATAGTGATAAGTGCTGAAGGGAAAAAATAAAGCAGGGAAGGATAATATAAAATATAGGGGAGCAAACTTTAGAAAGAGAGTGGCTAAGGAATAGCTCTTTGAGAAGGGGACTTTTGAATAAAGACATGAAAGGAGTGATGTCAGCTCCTTCCAAACACAGGGCCTTTGCATACTCTGTTCCCTCTCTACCTCTTGGACCTGATTAATGTTTCCTCTTCCTTCTGATCTTAGCTTGATAATTGCTTCATCAAGGAAGGCCAAATTTAACTATTGATGGCTCCCACAACTCTGTAGCTAACGTCTTTGATTGATGTCTATCTTCCCCACTAGATTAGACTGTCCATAATTTGCTTTGGTTTTCTTCCTACCTCCTGGAACAGTATCTGCTACTGGGAGACTCTTGAAACGTGATTCTTAATATTGGATGGGTTAGTGATAAGGATGAGGGCAGGGTTGGGAACTGAATCAACAATAGGGTTGAGATTAGGCTGAAAATTTAGAGAGGAAAGCTAGATTAGGGTAAGGGTGGGGGCAGGGAGTGATGTAGGGGAGGGGAGTGGGTTAAGGGGACAGAGACAGGATTGGGGAGAAGGCTGGGATGAAAGTTATGTCCATGCTCTGGTGAGCAGCAGGGCTGTCTCATCTGCCTGGGCACTGTACTATCCCTGGCTGAGGACAGGAACTGCCAACTTAGTCAAGCTCCCGCTCCCTGGGCTCTGCTCAGCCACTCTGATGACTTTTGGGGGATGCTAGGAACCTGATGATGCAAATTTGCCTCTTAAGATATTAATTCAATGTAAATTATCCCAGCCTCTTGCCTTCTAGCCACTCCCCTTCCCTTGAGACTGTGCCCCAGGGAGCTGCTAAGGCTTGGTGAGGAGCAGGGTTGGGTGGAGTGAGAACTGAGGCTCAGGGGCTCCAGGAACCACACCTCCAGGCCCCTATGGGATTCAGGGTCCTAGTGCAGTGGGGGCGAAAGGCCCAGCCTTAACTTTCTCATCCAGTAGAAAGATTGCTCTGTGAGTGGGTAGCGAGGAGGCACAGGCACACAGGCGGTCTGGAGGGTAGGGTGGGAGGGGTCCTTGGGGAAGAGAGCTGATGGTGTACAAGAGTTTGGGTATCACCACAAATGGTAGGGATCTACCTCCATCCCCCAAAAGCTGCCACCTCAAATCATAACCCACTATCAATAGATCTCTCCTTAGTCATCCCTCTGTCCCAAAAAAGCAGGAGTAGTGGCTCTGAGTTCAATCAAGGCTCAGGACTGGAGTAGGAATTAGGTTCCTGAGGGAAACAGAGACAGAGATGGGATGGTGGGGATACAAATGTGGCTGGGGACATGCATAGCATTAGGCATCAGCATGTAGATGGGGCACTCCCAAGTTATGACCAAAATGGGATGCATGGCTCTGGGTAGGTGCTCATTGGGCTGAAGAACTGGTTCTCCTGGACCAGGGGTGGACCCAGAGAGCAGAGGAGGCCCCTGGGAAGGATGCAAGCTCGCTAGGTTGGCTCAAAATGGGCCACCCACACAGGAAGCTGAGTCCTACTGCTGGGGCATCCCCTCCCCAACCCTGCCCTGCCCCAAGCCCTGCAAGGCAAGGAGCAACCCCTGGGCCCCACCCCCCCAAGGACAGAGAGAGAGAAATCAAATTGGGTCTCTCTGTTTAAAACTTGCCAGAGCTCAAAATGATGTTGTCCTGAGGATCAAACCCAAGGACTCAGTGTGGCCTACAGGACTGTGCGTGCCCCAGCTTCTGTCCGCCTCTCGGTCACCTTATTCCAGCCACTCCAGCCTTCCCTATGTTCCTTGAACACACGCCCTTCGGGGCCCCTGCACTTTCCCTGCCCCTGGTCTGTATCACCTTCCCCACAAGCTGTTTCAAGTGTTTTTCTCTTGTCGTCCAGGTCTCAACTCAACTGTCACCTCCTCAGAGTACCCCTCCCTGATCACTAGACCTAATGTTTCCCCCTCAGCCCCAGTCATGCTAACACACTGCCTCGTTTCATCTCCTAACTGCACTAGCATGCATCTGACAGGATTTGTTTGTTCCTGTGTTTATTTATGTGTTTGGTCTTCTCCCTGTAAGTCAGTGGAGGTAGGGATGGTGCCAGGGGGCTTCATAGCTGCTTCCACCACGTCTCAAATGGTGTCTAGGGAGACAGGAGCCGTGAGGCAAGCATTCTAGAAGGTCAGCACTGGAAGGGCCTTTCTAGGTCTTCTCATTTCTCCCATTTATCTGACAGATTTGGGCCACTGAAGCTGATGGCTTGCTCAAGGCCAGCTGAAGAGGGGTGGTTTGCTTTCCACCGTACCACCTTCCAGACTGACCAAAAAGCATAGAGGAGTCCAAGGTGTAGGCTGGAGGAAGGCCCCTGCTGACAGGGTTCACGCTTTACATGAGCCCCTCCCCTCTGTCCTGTCCCCAGAGGTGTCCAGAGCCCCGGCAGAATCCTACATGTGGCCAGTGTGTCTCCCCAGTAAATCTCCCTCCAAGCTGGCTTTCTGGGAAACCAGATTCCAGTGATCCTCCCTGGTCCCTCCCTCTCTGGCTCGGGCATCTGTAAGATGGGCATGCCTTCTAATGCTAACTTTGGTGCAGGCCAAGGAGTGTTCCTCCTCTTGGAGGACAGGCTGCCTGAGACACCCTGCCATCACTCCAGGCTGTCCTGGTCCTGCTGTTCTAAGTCAAAGCCCAGGTTTAAGGGGCTGGCACATCCCGCCTCTGCCACAGCCCTCCTAGCCACAAGGGGGTGCCTCTGGGTATTTCTTAGTCCTTTAATTTGTTCTAAAATGAACAAAATCTGGTGATTTTGAAACCGGCAGAGAGTTAGCCATTGATGATTAAGTAGCTAGGAACTAAAGGTTTTTTTCCTTTCTGCAATTACTGAATATAGCTTTCAACTGTTTAACCACCCATTGTTAACTGAGCTGCTTAGGCAATATGCTGACTCCCACTAGGCTCCTATAGATAACATCTCCCTGGAGCCTGCGTCACCACGGTAATGGGTGTATGAGCTGTTCTTCAG